TATGAAGAGTTCAGATGCAAAAGCCTCTAAGTACGTCTGACGTTTTTCTTTAAAATTAGCATTTCTTTCTGGCTACTATGTATAGGTATCTATGTAAGTACTGGTACTTCTGAATGGGTTGAGGCTGGGAATTAGTGCATTTGAATATAGTGCATATATAGGTGCATCTCAATAAATTAGAATGTCGTGGAAAAGTTCCTTTATTTCAGTAATTCAACTCAAATTGTGAAACTCGTGTATTAAATAAATTCAATGCACACAGATTGAAGTAGTTTAAGTCTTTGGTTCTTTTAATTGTGATGATTTTGGTTCACATTTAACAAAAACCCACCAATTCACTATCTCAACTAATTAGAATATGGTGACATGCCAATCAGCTAATCAACTCAAAACATCTGCAAAGGTTTCCTGAGCCTTCAAAATGGTCTCTCAGTTTGGTTCACTAGGCTACACAATCATGGGGAAGACTGCTGATCTGACAGTTGTCCAGAAGACAATCATTGACACCCTTCACAAGGAGGGTAAGCCACAAACATTCATTGTCAAAGAAGCTGGCTGTTCACAGAGTGCTGTATCCAAGCATGTTAACAGAAAGTTGAGTGGAAGGAAAAAGTGTGGAAGAAAAAGATGCACAACCAACTGAGAGAACCGCAGCCTTATGAGGATTGTCAAGCAAAATCGATTCAAGAATTTGAGTGAACTTCACAAGGAATGGACTGAGGCTGGGGTCAAGGCATCAAGAGCCACCACACACAGACGTGTCAAGGAATTTGGCTACAGTTGTCGTATTCCTCTTGTTAAGCCACTCCTGAACCACAGACAACGTCAGAGGCGTCTTACCTGGGCTAAGGAGAAGAAGAACTGGACTGTTGCCCAGTGGTCCAAAGTCCTCTTTTCAGATGAGAGCAAGTTTTGTATTTCATTTGGAAACCAAGGTCCTAGAGTCTGGAGGAAGGGTGGAGAAGCTCATAGCCCAAGTTGCTTGAAGTCCAGTGTTAAGTTTCCACAGTCTGTGATGATTTGGGGTGCAATGTCATCTGCTGGTGTTGGTCCATTGTGTTTTTTGAAAACCAACGTCACTGCACCCGTTTACCAAGAACTTTTGGAGCACTTCATGCTTCCTTCTGCTGACCAGCTTTTTGAAGATGCTGATTTCATTTTCCAGCAGGATTTGGCACCTGGCCACACTGCCAAAAGCACCAAAAGTTGGTTAAATGACCATGGTGTTGGTGTGCTTGACTGGCCAGCAAACTCACCAGACCTGAACCCCATAGAGAATCTATGGGGTATTGTCAAGAGGAAAATGAGAAACAGGAGACCAAAAAATGCAGATGAGCTGAAGGCGACTGTCAAAGAAACCTGGGCTTCCATACCACCTCAGCAGTGCCACAAACTGATCATCTCCATGCCACGCCGAATTGAGGCAGTAATTAGAGCAAAAGGAGCCCCTACCGAAGAAGTTGAGTACATGTACAGTAAATGAACATATTTTCCAGAAGGCCAACAATTCACTAAAAATGTTTTTTTTTATTGGTCTTATGAAGTATTCTAATTTGTTGAGATAGTGAATTGGTGGGTTTTTGTTAAATGTGAGCCAAAATCATCACAATTAAAAGAACCAAAGACTTAAACTACTTTCATCAGTGTGCTTTGAATTTATTTAATACACGAGTTTCACACGACATTCTAATTTATTGAGATGCACCTGTATTTAGACTTTTTCTAAGTATAAGTCAAGTATACTTAAATGTCATTTTAAGTATATTTCTGAGAAGTACATAAAGCCCATTTCTGAGAAGTACATAAAAAGTAGACTAAAAGTATACTTTCCTATTTTTAGTTTAAAAGAAGTATACTAATAGCACACTTGAATAAACTTCTTTTTCGTAAGGGGTACCCTGTGGAGCACTAGAAACTAAGGTGATTGAGTGGGGGGGAAAGGCATTTCCAGCGCTGTAGAGGGAATTAAGGGGGTGTGTGCATGTGTTATTCAAATGTGACATCTCTATTACTTAGATTATGTGGTAGAGAATGTATTACTGTTTTTGTACGCTTCTGCTTTAAAATGGTGCTCTTTCTGCGTTGTTGCATGTGTGCTAAAGAGACTTGTGTTTTGAAAATGCTTATAAATATGGGCATTCATGGGTTGTGATTATCCAGGAAATCTTACATGTTAATGGAAAAATTAAATCTTGCATATTAGTTTAATCCTCCATATTATGTTTGATGTGCTTAGTTTATTTAATGATTGATTAAACAATAGATAAAAACAAGACATGGTTTGTAGGCTGATTATTGATGTACAGCAGGGTAAAGGATATTTAGGAGAACATTGGAATGTTTCCAAACCTAAACATTCTTTTTCCTGGCTAATCAACAGAGAATTTTAAGTTGTCCGCTTTGGGAACCAAAAACTAATCTTGCCGGAACATCCTGGGAACTTAAAATTATTAGTGAGGTGCGTAACCTATGTAATTCCTGGTTTATGTTAAAAAAATTATTTACTGGAAAAATTGTCCTTAAATTTAAATTACATTCTCTATTCTGTAAATCAGTTACGATATACGCAACAACCAATGGCACAATGTCTAAAGGAACCATATTGAAACTGAACATGAATGAGAATCAATGAGCGTTATTATCAGTAAAAACTGATTCTGGTGTCTATGTATGTCCTAGAAATTGTTTACAAATTGGAAGAACATTTTGGCAGAAAAATCATTATGTCAAACTTGTTAAAGTGTGTCGTTCAGCTGTGGTCACTGCGCTCACTTCCTCACAGCAATCCTCAGGGCAGTTTTGGGGTGTGCCTCAGGGCCCTATATTAATTCCACCTTTGTTTCAAGCCAAAGCAGGCATGTATCAGGGCCAGCCTTACAGTGTTTCTTCCCCACCCGAGTGAAACTCTTTCCCAGCAGACTCATTCATCACAACCTAAACACTCCTGACTTGGCACTGCTGAGACCTCAGCATGGAGAACAGTCCTACGCTACTGTACACATTCATAAACAAGCCCAAATGCACAGCTGGTGATGCATTACTGATCGTGACCTTTCCTTTTCCCCGTCTCATCCATGTGAAGCTGCAGGAGGGTCAGCTGGTTGTGTGCCAGTTCCAGTTCCTGCGCTGGTCTGCGTATCGTGACGTGCCTGACTCCAAAAAGGCCTTCCTCAACCTGCTGGCCAGTGTGCAGAAGTGGCAGAGGGAATGTGGGGAAGGTCGTACAGTAGTCCACTGCCTGTGAGTAGTATTGTGACACATCCCACACACAAACTAATTTGTTTTATTAATTTACAGCCTGCTGAATTTCATTTTGAACAATGTCTCTTAAGTGATTTAATTTGATTTGTTATAATCTTAAAGTTAAATACATTTAGTTATGTCTACAAACTTTTTGTTTTCTGTATTCTTAATGCAAATAAATTAAGCAAACTTCCATTTTGCAAATGAAATTTGCACACAATTAAATTAGGTTGACAACGTGATCGAATTGTGTTGCATTAGCTGCTTTTAATTAGCTAAACTGAACAAACAGTTGCTCTTTTTGAGTGTATTACATTTAATATTTCTTTGTTAATGTTTTGGTTTGATTATTTGCATTCTGTCTATTGATTTCTGCTGCACAGTAATACATACCTGCAACTGTATGTTGTAATCTGTCATAAGCTTTATGCACTGCTAATCAGATACAGACAAATGATACGAAAAAAGCTTGATGGTGCAGTCCTGCTGTGCTTAACTACATATTTTACTTCCACCATGTGTCCTCTGCAGCGTGTCATTGATTGATGTTTCCCCAAGCAAATGATGCAAACAAATCTTTTTTTTTCTACTTTCCTGGTGAGATGTATGTCTAGTCTAGCAGGTGCACCGGCACTCTTCATCAGTAATACAGGTAGGGGAAGATCCATAAGCCAGTGTGTTTTAAACACTTCCCAATTTGAGATTTTATTATCTTATCATTTATTTGGAAATAAAGGATGGTCATTAAATTTAGTGTGAATGTAAATTGAAGTGGCCACATCCAACATGAAGTAAAATTGGAGCTACAGAAAGTGGAATTTTGAATGGAGATTGGGGTCAGATTTTTCTTTTCTTTTTTAAAAGAAATTATTACTTTTATTCAGCAAGTATATGTTAAACTGATAAAAAGTGATAGTAAAGGCCTATTGTTACAAAAAAATTCTATTTTGAAAAATTCTGTTCTTTTTTTACTTTTTATTCATTAGAGAGTTCTGAAAAAAGTATCACAAGTTCCAAAAACATATTAAGCAGCACAACTGTTTCCAACATCGATAATAAATCAGCATATTAGAATGATTTCTGAAGGATCATGTGACAATGAAGACTAGAGTAATGGCTGATGAAAATTCAGCTTTGCCATCGCAGGAATAAATTCAATTTCAAGGTATATTTAAAATAGAAAAATATTGATTACAATTGATAATATTTTAATTTATTTTAAATTATAATAATATTTCAAAATATTACTGTTTTTACTGTATTTTTGATCAAATAAATGCAGCCTTGAACATAAGAGACGTTAAAATGTTAAAAATCCTACAGACTGGGCGATGTTTCAGTTTTGAATGGTGCGCAATCCTGCCATAAGCTCCTACATATAATATACAGTCAAGAGAAAGCCAAATCAAATATAAGAGAACAGAATGGAAAGATAAAAGCGTTGTAATAACATTAAAGAGCAGAAATAAATGAACTAATCAAAGAGCAGTTCCACTGAACGACAAAAATTAAGAGATAAAAGACTAGGCACAAGAGAACTGATGAGAGGAATATTCCATTTTGTAATATTTTACCATTTGTGTGATCTGAAAAAGACACATAAACTGTGATTGGCCCCAGATAAATGTCACAGGGCATTTCATAAGAGCACGTGGACTGTCCATCAGGACACGTTCCTGCCTCGCACATTGTTGAAGCTCCTTGTGACGGCCATTTTGCCCTTGAACAGCACACTTAATCCTTGTCTTCTCACAGTGTTATCTGTGTGTGCCGTGACCCATATCTCTGTTTGCCAGTGAGCCAGATAAGAGATATTATATGCATTATTTATTTCTGTGTACCTTTGCAAACAAATCATGAACAATATTCTGGCATGAACAATTAAACAAACAAAAAATAAAAATCATTTTCTAAACAGGGACTCACTTCACTCATACCCAGACTCGTTGATCTTAGCCTAGGTGTTAACATGGTCATTATCCTTTTAACCCTTTTAACCGCACACTTCACACTTCGTTTCCCCTCCTGCCCACCGAGCCGCCTCATCTGGAACCCCAGGCACGAATTCGCTTCCCATCGCCACCCAGATGCACATCGCTCAAAACTATCACACAGTGTTACCAACCACAGGCAGAGAGAAGAGATTATGGAGATGAAATCAATTATGCTTTAATACAGAACAGCACAGGCCTTTCTCAGCGCTAAATCCAGAGCTGCCAAAGCACTGACTGCGATTGATTATCTCACCATTGCCTCATCTAGCTGCCGCCGTCGTGCCATACGCATACATAGCAGAAGACCTCGGCGGATCTTCAAACGGCTCTTTGTATGCCTCTCATGCAGGCTGGTTTCATATTAACTGGATATGTGAAATTTCTGTTGTAGACTGAATATCAGTATGCAGCGCAGCCAGATCTGTTTCTCCACTCTCCTCAATGTCTGTCTCTTCTTTGCTCATGACAGCTGGGCTTGTTGTATTCTTGTCTGTCTAGGAACGGTGGTGGCCGCAGCGGAACGTACTGTGCTAGCAACATCCTGATGGAGATGATCCAGTACCAGAACATCGTGGACGTCTTCTATGCTGTCAAGACCCTTCGTAACGCTAAGCCCAACATGGTGGAGACACTGGTGGGAACAAAAGCTCAGTACCGGTGAAATCGTACTATAACAGATCTATTCAGAGACAGAATAACAAAATTATTTGTTGCAAAAAATAAAGACGAATCACAAAAGGAAGTCTTGCCTTTGAAGTAAATGGCCAGTTGCCAAAAGCATCAGTTTTGCTACAGTCCATACAGTAGAACAGGGCTTATCCAGAAAATTCACAGGCCCACTCACTATTCCTTGGGCCCAATGAGAAGGTAGCAGGGGTTTCTAATCTTTTGGATGCCAGAGAGCCCCAAATATGATGGAAAGATAGAAAAGTGGCTTAATCGTTTCATGTATAAAAACTTAATGTTAATTAAAAAAAAAAAAAAAATGTATGTATTTATTTATTTATTTTAAAAAAAACTTGACCCTGTAACACTTGCACTCTCTATTCTATTTTTATTCTACTAGTTTTCTTTTTATAAAAAATAAAAATAAAACGGACCCTCTAACATTAGCATTCTCTATTCTTTTTCTATTCCATCTACTTGTTTTCTTTTGATTTATTATAACAAAATTACCCACAAACACTAGCGTTCTCTATTCTTTTTCTATTGCATCTACTTGTTTTCTTTTTATTTATTATAAAAAATGACCCTCTAACCCTACCGTTCTCTATTCTTTTTCTGTTCTTTCAGCCTTTTCTATTTATTGAAAAAATGACCCTCTAATACTAGCTTTCTCCATTCTTTTTCTATTCTGTCTACTTGTTTTCTTTTTATTTATTTTTTTTTTTTAAAAACCTTGCTATGTGTACTGCATTAAACTATCCGAGACTTGTCACAGCATTTACATATTATTGTTCTTTTTTGGTTTTGATTGCTTCTATTGTCCTCATTTGTAAGTCGCTTTGGATAAAAGCGTCTGCTAAAATTGTGAAATTTAGAAGATAACTAAATTGTCTACAAAAAAATTAAAACCATATGCAGATAGAATAAATTAGTATTAATTATTGATTTCTGACTTAAAGACGTAAAGACTTCATGAACAATATACTGACCCCAAACCATTGAGCGGTAGTGTTCACACTCAAATTATTGCGCTAATTCTCTGATTTCTCTGTGTCTGTGTGATGCAGGAGCAGTATCGTTTCTGTTATGAGCTGGTTCTGGAGTATTTGGACTGCTTGGAGGTCAGATAGCGGAATCCCCCCCCTCCCCTCCAATCCCGCCATCCTGACCTCACTGCACGGAGCAGGACCACCGGCAGGCTCACTCTTACACCCCCAGTCACCTCTGCTTACCTTGGAAACACTTTTGGTATAATGCAACAGCCTGAAAAAAAGCAGAATACACAGAGGGTATACTTAAAGTTCAGTCTGCCATGCTGACCTCACTGCATGGAGCAGGACCACCGGCAGGCTCACTCTTACACCCCCAGTCACCTCTGCTTACCTTCTTACCTTCTTTCTGTCGTCTAAACCAGATCCTAAAGCCGAAGGAAGAAGATGGTACAAAAAAATAAATAAAAATGCGGAGTAGAGTTTTCTGCCTTTTTACCCCAAACATCTAAATATGTTCACCCTTCTGTGTCAAGGCTGTTTTTTCGGTTAGGATATTTTCCGCATATTTTCCTCAGAACTGTGAGCGATTCCAGAGCCTGGCGCAGTGTGGTTGGTTTAGCTCTGCTCGCAGAGATAGTGGGCCGTTTCTAAAAACGGCAGCTTTATTTTACACCTGCCTGTTTCTCTCTGGCTGACTGGACTGAAGAGCAGAAATAAACATCACTTGGAGAAGATCTCTTCATGTGCAGCGCAGTGGAGCTGAGAATCGGGCGCCTTTACCGTGGCTCTTAAAAGGAGTCGGGCACCTGCCGTGCCCCTTAAAAAGCGCCAAAAGGACAAACACACACATGCATGCCCACACAGATTCAACCAGCAGACAGCTTTCCATCAACTGCCTATCAAGACGCCGATGCCTCTTCAACGCTGTTTCACCAACGTTTAGCGATGCGTGTCTCTTCTCTGACGATTGGTTCTTGTATCATCGGAGGCGGAGTTTATTACTATATATGGTGCCATATGTCTCAAGAGGAGATTGACAGGAGAGTTGGGCGGCCACGTTGCCCCACTGTGGCTTTCCTATCTTGTTGTGACTGTTGTCTTTTTTCCTCTCACTTGTATATATTCTTAACGTCTGCTGGAAATCTCTTACGTCTTAAGGTGTAAGTCTCAAGTGCTAACAGTGGCCCTGTGTGCTTAAAGCAAAGGAAGTACATTAACAAGGGGCAGACGTGATGGCATTCTAAAGCTTGCGGTGGATTACACCCTGACCTTTATCCTCTCACTCAATGCTTTTGAGCTAGCGCAGTTAATAGTCTTTTTACAACGGCGCTGCGAAATGGGAACGGAGGCGAAACTGTGTCAGAAGTGAGGAGAAAGGGACCAAAAGGAACACCGGCAATCTTCTTCTTTTCACTTGTAACTATTTATCGGACTGACTCGTGTTCTTTGAGTGGATTTGTTTAACAATTGTGCAGCTTTGCGTGTACAGCTGAATCCTGGGCTCGAGATTTTTCAAAGCATTTCTTTAAGTTTACATTTACAGTCCATTTCTGTTGCATTGCAGCATGTGATGGGCTTTATTTGCCACTTTAATAGCCGGATACACAATGCTTTATCATCTGATTGTCAAGTGTGCATTTCATGAATACGGAACTGTGGTGTCTGATGATGGTTTTTCAAGCATCAGAGGTACAAATCCCATGTTAGCTAGTCAAATTTCTGTATCGCTTTTTAAAATAGTCATTTTGGCCTTTCACACCTCAGAGGTCCATTATTAAAGGTATATGTTTGGTATATATAACAAAAATGTATTTTCTTTTGCTCCACTCCTATTGAGCAACAGGTTATTTTATGCTATATTTTTTATTTATTTTATGCTGCAGTTACACTTTTTTACACTATTTTTTTTAATAAAATTTTGAGATATTTTGTTGCCACATTGTAAAAGCATATAAATCTGGCTTTTAAACTTGATTTGAACATTTCCCAAAGACTGGTAAACAGGGAATTTCCCATAGAAATACATGAAAAACAGCTTATATAAAAATTGATGTGACCTTCTGAGGGTGAAAATCAGCCTTCTTTCACTGTCTGTTGGTTGAAAATAAGTAAAAGAGCTTCAGGCTGTAATTTGTAATTAATTTGTGGAAGGTGCCAGACACTTTAGTGCAGTAAGTAGAACCGACATCCAGGAGTTCAGTGATAAAAATACCAAACTGTATTTACCACCATTGAATTACAGTAGTTTAAACTAAAAGCACTAAATAAAATGGTATCCACATCACTATTACACACACACATCTCTCAAATTATGACCCCCAACTGTGAAATTGCCATATCAGCAAGATGCCAAGTTAGCAAACCACAGAGGCGTTTTCTCAATGATTACATTACTCCGCATAAACCATCTCAGATGTCAGCCTGCCTCAGTCCACACTGACTGACGGCTCACGACTGCGTCAAATGACTGATGGTGTTAACAAGCTGTTGTAGTTAAAGGGACAGTTCTCTCAAAAATGAGAAATCTGCCATGACTTGTTGTTCCAAACGTGACTTTATTTCTACTGTTAAACACAAAGCATTTGGGACGATATGATGACAGAATTTTCATTTTTGGACAAACTGTTGTTCTAAGGGAGCCAGAGAAAATATTGATTGAACAGATTACACAGACAATGTGACTTTTTTTTTCACCAAATCCCCCTTTGGACTTTCTTGGAAAGTGCCTGGACACTCCGATTTCAAGTGGAAAGTATGTGTACATATAGATGTATATTTGTGTTCTGTGAATAGTATGTGAATAAAGTTTGTTCGGTCAGATTTAACCATTTTAAAGTAACGGAAAGAGTTGAATGTACTGTTTAAGACCTGTTTCCTGAATATGCCGCCAAAAGATCTGACACATGCTCAGTCAGCTGAGGAGGATTTCTAAAAGCCATCCCAAAGTCGCCCCTTCAGAAGGCCCATTCAGTCACTTTAAAACCCTCCAATGATTGTTTTTTTTTTTTTTTTTATAACCATG